CACACACACACACACACACACACACACACACACACACACACGCTTCATCACATACCAAACCCAAAACCAAACTCACTGCCATCCAGTCGATGCCGACTCATAGCGAGCGACCTTACAGGACAGGGCAGACAGACCCCACACAGCCCACCCGTGAGGCTCCCAGAGCCCCATCTTTCTCCGTCCTAACACCCAGCCTCACCAAATTCAAGAGCCTCCAGAATTCATCCAGCCCACAGGTGATGGCCCATGACCAGAGAGGTGGGGGGACAGCAGATGAGGGTGGAGGAAGGGGCTGAGGGGCCAGGCCAAGTGCCAAGCTTCATGGGCACCGGGCCAGGGTCCCTCTACCCCAGCTCAGCTAGAGCCCAGCCCTGAGTGGAGTGGACCTTCCTCTCCCCCTCAGTGCCTCCCGTGATCGAGACTGGCCTCCCCGACCTGTCCACCACTGAAGGCTCCCACGCCCTCTTGCCCTGCACGGCCAAGGGCAATCCGGCGCCCGCCATCACCTGGGAAAAGGACGGGCAGCCTGTGTCTGGAGCGGAGGGCAAGTTCTCCATCCAGCCTTCCGGGGAGCTACTGGTGAAGGATTCAGAGGTGAGGGGCTGGCCGGCTGAGCGCCAACACCAAGCCCAGCCCACGGTCATCCATCAGCTCCCACAGAACTGCGCCTTAGAACCTCTGAGACTGTCAGGCCTTAGGAGTGCTGACAGACTCATCTTTCTCCCTGCGTGCCACTGGTGGGTTTGAACCACTGACTCTCGAGTGATTGGCCCATCGCTTAACCCACTGTGCCACCAGGGATCCTTCTGCAGACCTCCAAGCCAAACCAAACTGCCATCGAGTATGCCGACTCACAGCGACCCTGTAGGACAGGGTAGAACTGCTCCCGTGGGTTTGTTTCCGAGACTGCAGCTCTTTAGGGGCGTGGGAAGCCTCCTCTTTCTCCCGCAGAGCTGGCTGGTGGTTTTAAACTGCTGACCTTGCTGTTAACAGCCCAAATGGTAACGGATACGCTGCCAAGGCTCTAGACTACCGTGGGGAACAATTGTAGCAACGACAAGCGCAAACTGGCTGAGCGCCCACTGTTGTTCATGCTCTGTGCTGAGCCCCGTGTCGGCTCTTAGCCCCAAGAACCTTGGGAGACCGGTGTTATCATCCTCACAGACCAGTAAAGAGACCAGGGTTCAGAGGGGACCGAGTTTGCTCAAGATACATTATTGCTAAAAGGCAGGCGCGGGATTTGGAGCTGGGCCTCCTGGCTGGCTCCTGGGGGCGGGGGGCGGGGAGAGAGCCCAGGGTGGGTCATCCGCCAACAGCCCTGATGTCAGAGGTGCTCCTGAGCCTGGAGGTGGAGCACTCACCAGATTCCCCAGGGAATGGGGTGGCTGCGTGGGTGGAACATGTGCCTGGAGGTGGGTCGTGGAGGCCTTAGGAGGGATCAGGGTCCTGAAAGGACAGTGGTGAGCTCCCCAGCCCTGTTCCACTCGACCAGATAACATCTCTGAGCCTTGCTGGACCCTCCACACAGAGACCCCCAAAGTCGGGCTTGTCTCATGGATGGGGTGAGCGTGCAGTGAGCTGAGGCCAGTCAACGTCTAAGCACAAGCCTAGCACAGAGTAGGTGCTGGTCCTCATGAGGCCGCAGTGGTAGAACCGTGCCCTTGGCTAGCTGTGTGACCTTGGGCAAGTCAACTCACCTCTCTGGGCTGGACGGTCGTGATGGGGCGTGGCTCCTGAGAGCATTCGAGCTCAAGGAGGTGGGGGGCGGTGGGTGCCCAAGCTGACCTCTCCTTCTGCCCACAGAGCCGAGACGCGGGCACCTACACCTGCACGGCCCAGAACGCTGCGGGCCGCGCCCGCCGCCGCGTGCACCTCACCATCATGGCATTGCCCGTGTTCACCACCCTGCCCGGAGACCGCAGCCTGCGCCTGGGGGAGAGGCTATGGCTCCGGTGTGCAGCCAGGGGCAGCCCCACGCCTCGGATTGGCTGGACGGTCAATGACCGGCTGG